CCCCCCCGGCAAGAGTCCCATACTTGCCACTCTCTCCCCCCAAAACGTATGTTAAATTTGGGAGATTTACCGCTTTGGCCAGAGGGCTGCAGGTGCTATAAAAGCTGCTCATCTCTTTGGAGTCAGACCTGCTGCCACAGCCCAGGGAGGGGGGGTTGGGTGCAGATTCAATGCTGAGAGCTTTCTGGTGGGGATGATGGCTGGGCTGTGTTAGCAACAAGGCAAGCACAGAGTCTGGAAGAGATGTGGGTCGATCCCCCAAGTTGCTGTGCACTGCAACTCCTAGGACTTTGCTTAGCAGTGAGCAAACAAGGGAGATGAGGCTCCAAATTCCAGCAGTGATGCAAACTGTGGCCAAGGTGGTCCTGATGCTGCCGGGTGCCTCAGCTCTTGCTGGCTCCTGGGAAAATTTGGCGCCTCTCCGTTGTCAGTCCAGACCTGCAATTGATGTTGCTGCCACTTGTCACTTCTGTGGGCCCAGGGAAGAAGTGTGGTGTGATTTGACATGTCCCGGGGACGGTGGGCTGGCATCAGCATTTGGCTTGACCTCAAACTTCCCCAGCGTTTGAGCACGTTCAGCGTCAAGGCTGGGCTGAGCCAGCTGGTAACGCTGACTATGCGCAGCCCAGGCAAAGCAGGGCTATAAGCTGACATCCGCCGCGCTGGGAGAGGCCAGAGAGCCCAGGCTTTGCCCGATCCTCGCCCCCCACAACAGATGGGGACAGGCTAGTTAGCACCGTGGTCCTGGCAGCTGAGCCACAGGCCTCACTGTAAGAGAGGCCAAAGGGGCATCTGCCCCCAGTCCATGCTCCACAGAGGTGACACCAGGCCGGTGTCAAGCCCAATGCTCCCTCCTGGCATGTGGCCCACAGCCAGTGTGCTGGGGACACTGCCCAGGGCCAAGAGCTGCTCTCCAGAGGAGCCACGAGCTTGTCAGTCCCTATCAATAGGAGACATGTGAATGCTGCCCTTGAGCTGCCCTCTGTAGACCCGTAGCCGGGGTACAGGCAGTGGCACAGGCCCTCACACAGCACCCTGTGCCCAAGGCAACTGGAGCATGATTTAGGCTCTCATGCCAGGCGCTGCTCTGTGTCAGCCATAGCCGCGGATGCTGAAGCCCTCTCATGTGCAAGAGCCCAGTTCCAGGCTGCAAAACAGCCTGTCCCTCCTCTGCCTGCACCAGCTCCAGGGGCTGCAGATCCAAGGTTGGAGGAAGGTCAGTCCTAAAACCTGCCCATAGATGAGGCATGCCCTGGTCTTCCTCCCACTGTCCATCAGGCCCCTGCTTGAAAGCTCCCATCCAGGAGGCAGAGGCAGAACCGGCTGTGTTTCTGCTCTTGGAGAGTGTGTGGGGCTCAGGTATGCTCTGATACACTAACCAGGCAGTTCACTTCTGTGGGATGGTGCAGCATGGGCACATCAGCTCTCGGTGCCCGCAGGGCACTGCAAAGCTCTGGCAGAAAACAGCTCTAAATAGGAAATCTAAATACTCTTTCATCGAGCATTTCTCCAGAGAGGAGATGCTGGGGCTACAGGGGTTCCCACTGCAAAACACCCTGTGTTTGCCATAGCACAGCTCAGCTGCCAGCACACCCAGCTCCCTGGGGAGACCAAGATGCGGGCAAGGCACACCCACTGGCAGACAACCACATGAGTATCTTGGAGGGCCTGAGCCTGGCCCAACCCCACAAAATTTTATTTCCCAAGAGAGCTTTCTAATGCACCCACCTCTGAGGCACAGCATATTAACTTCATCCAGCAAAAAGGGAGTGGGAAGCTGCAGGGGAGCTGCAGGGAAGTAATCTGCCGAGCTCAGCACTCCTCTGAGCTGGTGGTGAGGACTAAGCGGTTCTGGCTGACCATCCATCACCCTGCACCCAGGACTGATGCTCAGGGGAAAGCATCCTGGAAGAAGGTCACGCTCATAGCTGATGTGACTGCCCTTCTCCAGCACCTAGAGCGGCAGGCAGGACCCTGGAGCCCGTAGCGGGCAAGGGGTTGCGATCCACATTGCCATGCAGGCTTTGGGGCAGGGGTCTGTGTGCAGAGATAGCCATGCTGGGAAGGACATTGTTCTTGCAGTGTGAGGACTGGGGGCCTCACAGCATTGCTCCCTAGGGGAATCCTCCCTGCTCCTGGGGAATGATGCTCCATGCACACACACACCCCCCCCAGAGCAAGGCCCAAGGCAGAGGAGGTCCTAAGCACCTTCCAGAGGTGGCAGAAAGCCCCCTTGTACCTTTGTGCCCTTATTTTAGCTTGCAACTTCTGCTCTTCTGCAGCACGGAGATTGCTTCACTGCTGCACACTGCGCTTCCTGCTCTTAACCCAAGAACAGCCATGCAATTACACAGGGTAATAGGGCTTTCTTCCTTCCCCATTCTCACCCCTCTCCCTTTCCGACCAGTTCTAGCAGCCCATGAGAAGGCACAACGGCAGCTTAGCTGGCCAGGGCACTGAAGAAGTGTGTCCAGGCCCCAAGTGGTAGTGTTGCTGGTGGGGTCCAGTCCTGCACAGCAGCATGGCTTGCATGCTTTGCCAGGCATGATGCAGGCAAGGCATATCCAAGTCCCTGTATTCCTGAAGAGCCCAAGGCATACACCAGGGCAAGCAACCAGGGCAGCTTCATACCAACGGTCCCTGTGTATGCACAGAGCAGGTGAAGGCCACAGGCCACAACATGCCGTGGACTGCCTACCTACTATGATGCACCCCGTGTAAGTCCTGCATCCCCAGGTGCCCAGCTTGGGGCAGGAATGGCACTCAGTTCACTGTAGGTCGCCACCCCATAGCTTGTGGGAAACCCCCGCTGCTTCCCTCTCATTCTGGTCTCTCCTCCCAACAGCCACCTCTAACCTAGACCTCGAGAACAAGAAAGCTGCCCACGCCAAGCTGCCATGGCAGCAGCCGGTGAACGTGTTCCTGGCCTCCGGCCGCCCACCAGGCATGGAGCAGCTGCACCAAGAGGCCCAGCTCAACCTCCAGAGCTTGCTGCAAGGTAGAAGGGCCAGCGGTGGGCTGGGTTAGGGTGACAAGGATAGGCACAACTCTGTCCTCTGCTCCTTAGCTGGTTGGGGACAGCCAGGATCCCCAGTCAGTGCCTGTGGCAGACAAGGCTCCTACAGGGTTTGTGGCTAGCATGGTAACCCCAGTCTGCTCTTCTGCACCTCCCTGCACAAGAATTGCTTGGGATCTGCTACAGCCATGGCTGTAGGAACCAGCAAGATTGTGCTTTAAAAATCACTGCTGGCAACACGGACCCCACAACAGCCTGGGTAAATTATTCTGGTGGAGAATTCTTCCTGCTCCACCGCAAGATCATCAGGCCTCTCCTTCCCATCACCAGCTCACCTGGTATCTATACTTGTTAGGGTCATCTCCCCACATGCAGTTGTCCAAGCCATTTATCAGACTTTGGCAAGCCATAGTAGTCAGGCTCCTGCATGCTCCTGGGTTAGTCCCAGCCCTTATGCCTCTCTCACAGCTCTTCTTGGGACCCTCTGCACTCGCCAGTCTCCTTTCAGTCCCCCTTCATGGCTCTCTGGCCATGGCGTCACTCCAGCTGAGCATCCGTCTTGGACACGGGAAGAGGCCATGCTTATGCCAGAGGGCCCTATCTGTTCAACAGGGCTTGGCCATGCTTTCCCAACACCACTTTGTCCCGGGAACTCATTTACATGGTACCTCTGGGCATAGCACACAGCCCAGCTGTAAAACCCAGGCCCAGCTGACCAAGAGATGCAGATCCATTTGCTCCAGCAATCCATCCTCTGATCTTGTTTTCTCCCAGTCACTATTAAAATATCAGAGCAGCCCAGGCCCAGAACTGGCCCCTGGGGCCTCCTGGACACTCACCAGCCCCACAGCATTTCTGCCTATGAGGACCTAGCAGTTGATTTGTTTAATCTAATCAGCATGGCTGTTGATTTTGTTTCCTTCCAATTTCTTAATCAAGACATCACGTGGTCTCAAATCAGATGCTTTACAGGCATCAATTAGATCAGCAGCCTGGCCTTTCCCCAACTTGTAATCTCATTAAGTTAGTCTGATCAGACCTGGTTTCCATGAGGCCACAATGACTGGCATTAATTAACTCAACAATTACAGGATGGGGAGATATTGAGTTCCCTCCTGGTCATCCCCAGTTGGATTTGCTTCCCCTTGAGTCCTATCACTTTCCTAGGCAGCCTTTCTTGGACAAGCAGTGGGGGCTGGCAGGGTCCAAGCTGTGACTTGAGTGTCCCAGCCCTGGACTCCTTTCCCTGAGTTTGCTGGCAGCACGGGTGAGTTTCCGTTCTCCATGTTCTCTTCCTCCTGTTTGTTGCCTAAGCCCACCTGCCTGTCGTGACCAGGGACCCAGACAGCCAGTCAGTGTCACAGTGGTGTACCCATGAGCGCAGCTGTCCCTGCAGCTGGCCGCCCAAGACTTCACACTGTATCTGCTATGTCCTCTGCGGATCTGGCAGTGAGCTCCACAGTGGGACCAGAGCCAGCAGACCCCTGGTGAGCTGACTCTGCCGTCATCCTACCCTGCAGTCCTACAGGAGACATGGGCTGTGCTCCAGAGTGCCTTCTTGCTCCTCCCTGTCCGCCTCTCTGCCTCTGCAAATGTGACTGTGCAGGATTCAGATAGGACGGCCAGGGTCATTCACTGACCTTCTTGGCACCCACCTTGTCCCTGGGGGCAAAGCTTTCACCTCGGAGCACCCAGTGGCCTCTCAACCCACAGGCTAGCGCAACACCCTGCCATCTGTCTTGCAGAAGAGTATGAGGAGCAGTACACAGAGACCAGGGTCACCGGGCAGACCTTCCGCGCTGCCAGTCACCTGTCCCCGGACACTCCCTCCGAGCCATCGCCCCGGCCCCCGCCTGCCAAGCGTCTCGAGTTCGTGCTTATGGTGAGTCCCTGGGTCCCCCACTTTGTCCCAGGACGCGGGGCAGCCGCTGCAGGTCCTGGTGGGAGAGACAGGCCCCTCTGCCCATGTACGTCTCCAAGGGTGGCAGGGAAGGGAGGTGTCATTCCAGCATCGCTCGGAGAGGAGGGGTTGGCATGGCGAGTCAGGTAGCAGGGCCTAGGGTGGCCTTTTCTGTCCATCCCTCATCCCTCCTCCTTCCCCCAGGAGTGGCTTTGGTGGTTCAAATTCCTTTTTCCCACAGCCCCCAAGCCGGCGAGCAAACGAAGACGAGACCACCTCTACCACACTTGGTGTGAGGCCTCCCGAGGCCTCCCTGAGCCTCCCCACCACCCCGGACAAGCAAACAGCCTGGACGAGGGCCTTCCCCCTGCCTACCGTGGAGGAGAAGCAGTGGCACCAGTCCTGCTCCATCCAGACCAACGTCGTCCCCATCAATGTCTCTGGTAGGGCAGCACCTACACATTATGGTTGGGAAGAGATGCTAAAGGCAGCCCAGGCCAGGCAGTGACCCCATCGTCTTGTGCTCAGCAGGTTGTAGAGCAGTGGGAGCGTAGGCTAGGACTGCAAACCTGTGTCTCTGCAGGCCAGGAGAGCACCCAGGGCAGGGCAAGGGGGCAGCAGGGCCTTGCTCAGGTGTGTCATTCCCCGCTATCTCTTTTGCCATCTACAACTTCGCGCTTCTGATCCACTGGTCACGCCACATTCTGGTCTCTCATTTCTGCCACGTTAACCAGCTGTCATGGTCTGTTGTCACCTTGGCTCTCATTGTGCTCAGTACAACCTGCCTGTCCATCCGTCTGTCCATCCTTGCAGGGCTGCAGCTCCCAGGGCACAGATCTGCCAGGTCCTTCCAGGCTCGAGTGCTGCACTTTGTCCCACACATGTACTCTGCCCTAAGGCATCCCTTCATTATCCATGGGCAAGGTGTGCTTTGAAGCCCTGTGGCATGCAGCTGAGCAAGATAAACCTCCTGAAGGCAGAAGATATCTTTTTTGTTACTCCTTTCTCTGATGGAGAGATTTGCAGGAATCAGGATGGTTCCTCTCCTAGCCCTGTGGCGATTCAGGGTCTGAGGGACCTGCAGCACTCTGTGTCATTGAAATGCTGGCCTGGCTCAGCATCCCTGTCCCCCATCCTGTGACATTAGCAATGGAGCCCAGCCATGTAGAGCTCAGCCTTGCCAGCACAGATCAGAGCCTGTTGCACAGAACTGGGGTGGTCTCTACGATTTCCTGCATATTCCATCTCCATCAGCAGGCATCTCCATGTTCCTGCTTGCTGGCACTCCAGCCTCCCAGTGCATCATCCACCATGCCTCCATCTCCCCAGCAGCTCGCATCTCATTGCTAACCACACTCCTTCCACCACTCTGCCCTTGCCACCACCATGCAACTACAGGGACTCTCACCAGCAGAGGGGGTGGCTCATGACTCCAGAGCAGCATTAGCCCTGCCAGTCACACTGTAAGACAGGGCTGCGTGCTAGCAGGAACGAGGTCCTGGGGCAACCCAGGGCCATGGCCCTTTGCAAGGCCTGGGTGTGGGGCAATGGTGTGTTGAACTGCAACTCCTGAGTGCCAGAGGCAGAGCATTGCCGACCTGTGTTATCCCTGGCCCTGTGCTGGCCTCCTGCATGGCACTTCACCCATCACTGGGGTGCTGGAGAGCTAGCACCCCAGAGCCACCCTACACTGGGCTCCTTTGAGGCAGAGGGGCTGGGCACAGAGAGGGGTGCCTAGTGGCACTCTTCTGCCTGCATGCTCACAGCAGAAACCTGGGCCAGGCGACTCCCATGGCAGCTGAGGTGGCCCTGTCCAGCCACGACATGCTTCAAAGGCACTGGCCAAATGCAGCAACAGAGCTGGGCTCAGCCCCTGCCTGAGCAGCCCCTCTGCCCATGCCTGCATCGTCCTCCCAGCACTGCCATGTACAGCGTGTTTGTTTTGGCTACAGGGCAGCACTTTACTAGGCACGCGAGTGCTCGTCACTCCCTGTTTAACACAGAGACCGCGATGAACCCCAAGTCCACCCTGCGGCGTAGACGGACCATTATCGGATTCCCTAACCTGTCCCTGCGAGACCAAGGTGACAACAACAACCGCGCAGCCGCTTTCACGCTCCGGGAGTGTCCAGGCACAGCTGGTGCCTGCCAGAGCTGCCCTGACCATGGGCAGAGCCACTCTGGGGGGGGCTGATGCTCAGCGTGGGAGCAGGCAGGCTCTCTGGGGACATCACACTGGGGCTGGCACTTGGGGACATAAAGGCCACTGCTCTGGCTCTGCTTCCGCCTGTCAAGAGGCTGCCTAGGGAACCAAAGTCCCGGGCAGACTGGTGATGCTGGTCTGGCCCTGGGGCTGGGGCATGGGAACATGGACTGCCCCCTGGGGCTTGCATTTCCCCAGACTGCTAATTACAGCACCAAGGGGCAGCCCAGCCC